AGAGCGAGCAAGAGAGAGAAAGGGAGAGAGAGAGAGAGAGAGAGAGCGAGAGAGAGAGAGAGAGAGAGAGAGAGAGAGAGCGAGAGAGAGCGAGAGAGAGAGAGAGAGAGAGAGAGAGAGAGAAAGAACGAGAGCGAGAGCGAGAGAGAGCGAGAGAGAGAGACGATGGGAGCTATGCTAATCGTGCACGCTGGGCAACCCGCGCGAATGCATTACGTAATTATTATTTAAATTTCGGCGAGGCCCATTGCCAATTAGCTGAGAAGTGTGCACAGCCGCCTTGCTATGGATGCAGCTAGCGTACGTAGACAGTCGGTATTCACGTACCACGGTACGCGCCTGTACGTAGCTGTACGCGCCTGTACTTCGCTGTACGTGCGTGCATGTACGTAGCTGTACGTGCCTGTACTTCGCTGTACGTGCCTGTACTTCGCTGTACGTGCGTGCGTGTACGTAGCTGTACGTGCCTGTACTTCGCTGTACGTGCGTGCACTTCGCTGTACGTGCGTGCATGTACGTAGCTGTACGCGCATGCGTGTACGTAGCTGTACGCGCATGCATGTACGAATCAACCCCAGCCGATATATCCGACAATCCTCAAACCCTTTTGCTCGACATCCGCACTAGAGAGGGGGGAAGGAGAGAGCCAGAGGGGGAAAGGGAGGAAGAGCTAGACAGCTAATGCGACATAAATTCACTCACCGTTTTTTTGTCGTTCTGTCAGATCTGATTTTTTCCGTCGCACGTTAACGAAGAAAGAATAACCGCTCCGTGTGTCGTCTGCGGCGCGTGACCTTATACGGAAAGCCCACAACGAGCCGGAGTGACCTCGGCTAAGCACGGCTAGCGATGGCTGCACTGGGATTCGAACATTTCGCCGAACGACATGCGTGGAAAAAAAATCCCGCCTGCCAGTTGCAGCCTGTCCGTATTAATATACGGAGAAATCTCGCAGCCGACATCAAAGGTTTGCCGCTAAACTACGCGCACTTCCGCCGACAGGCGGGGATAGGTCCCTTGTAACCTTGCCGCGAGTTCCTCGCCATTTCATTTTTCGTCCAACATCGTGTAATAAAAAATTGCTGTCGGGTGACGTCATTGACGATACTTTCACAGCTTGGGGGACATTGTGGAAACGACCCCGTCCCCTTCCCCCAACGTTACGACCCCCGTCCCACTCCCTCAACGTTACGACCCCCGTCCCACTCCCCCAACGTTACGACCAGGAGTAAGACGACGACGAAATTCAGGGATAGTATCCCCATACGAGCATAAATGTGTAAAGACGTGATCTAATCGTAAAATAAGAGCAAGAACTAATCTTGTATATAGGATTATTCACAGACTACGCCGATATATCACGACAACGACCGCCTTACGAGTTAGTCATGCGTTATAGTTCATAGAATAGAAGAACGAATAGAAATGGACGGCGTAGAAAGACGGATAGTAAGAGAAAGGGGAGCGTCATATGTATATTTAACGTCGTTTATTGCGGCATAACATGCGGTCGGGTCGCGCGCGATCATGGCATGCTATGAGGTCCACTCCTGGATGGATGTTGTCGGCCATGTTTGATCGGTCACGTGATTGTTCGATACACCGAAGCTCTTTCGCTGCTTCGAACACTATTTCGTCTCGGCGAATTCCTTTCTATCACTACTACACACATATCGTGACAAAGGCATTCGTCGCAAGCTTTAACATATTGTATCGCTTGAAAGCATTTGTCGCGAGCAACGCGATGGTCTCAAATCCTGCAGCTGAAAATTTACGTATCCTGTTCCATTCACCATCGCGACGGTTTTTTCTTGTATTCTATTTAGTCTCTCGTGTAAGACTTTTCCTTTTTTTATCGCGTATAATGTTCAAGACCGACAATCTCTTTTTTACGCATAATTTTAATAATATTTTTACGGAACTCATTTCCGCTTATATTTTAGACCTCAAGGTTTTTTTATATTGCTATGTAGGTTTTAGCAGGCGACCTGATTACAAGTTTGCACCTGCGCACGCGCATGACAAGTCACAGAATATAGACATCTAAAGAAACTGACAGTGAATAACTTTGTACTATTTTGCAACGAAAGAATTGCCAGCGAAATGCCCCTCAGCGTTGCAGACCGAGACAAAACGTCGCAATTAACATCAGTGCACGTCTATACTAGTACATCTATACTAGTACATATATACTACATATATACTACATATATACTGGTACATCTATACTACATATATACTACATCTGTACTTGATCTGTTTCACATCTATACTTCTACCATACTACGACTATACTTCTACTCTACTGCAACTATAATTCTACTATACTACAACTAAACTACTTCTTCATCTCTCGCCGTTAGCAGGAACAGTAGAACGTCGTATGTAATAACTGTGTATACGGCGTTCGATCCCCGGCTCTCTCATCCTTGCCTATGCCTGCCTAGTGCCTACCCATTGCAAGCGCATCTATACACCGTGCTAGACATGCAGCGTGGGGGAGTATAGCACGAATGAATGTTAGCGACAGTAAACGTGTGACTGTTATTGAGTGTAACAGCGCTACACAACCTATTCGACATTGTGCGCGCACACATAGAGAGGTGGTGGGCGTATATCCCCCCGCGTGATTGCAGAGCAGCGCTATTGCATACTATGTACACAACTGATTTTATTATGTACGCATTTATAAATCAGAGTGCACGCGTGCGTGTGTGTGTGTGTGTGTGTGTGTGTATGTGTGCATATCTTCCGCACGGATACACGTGAACGACTGCGTGCACATCATGAATGCATATGGGGCGCGGCGTGGGAGGAGGGAGGGGGAGGCCGGGAAAGGAGGGAGGGGGATGCCGGTGGAGGAGGGAGGGGAGGCCGGGGGAAGGCGGGTAAACATCGGAACCGACGCTCCGTTATAAATGAGTTTCGTTCATCCGACAGGAGCAATCCTCCTGATGGCGCAGCATGCCCCGATATCGGAGCACCAGCGACAGATTAATCACGACACTCCTCGATAAAGGCCCGCTGCATGATGATGACATCATCGATGCTGCCCCCTACCGTCTAGACGAGGCACTCCCGCCTGACCTCTTGTCTTTATTCCACATTTTCGCGCGTAAAACCGTCGTCTGTGTGTATGTATACACATGAGGTTTGTTCGCAGGCAGCGGCAGTATACATGGCGTGTGTGAAGCTCTGACATACACCTGGAGCGAGCAGGAGAGCCTGCAGAATGTGTATGAATTACGCTAATACCCTTTTCAAATACCCGGGTACGTATACACTATTTGCACTGCGCACATGGGCCCTTGGCCATTGGAGAAGACCAATCGATAACAGACGTGAGAAAGTTGCCGCGTGGAGCGCCGTCCGCCATGCAGGAGAATTGCACACGATCGTATTGCACGGTGCGTACGCATGCACGCACACACGCACGCACGCACGCATACACGCATGCATGCATGCACGCACTCATGCATACTTACACGGATCTACATTCGCATACGATTGCAAGCACGCCCTCATGCATACGTACAGGGATGGATATACATCCATAGAAGCTTGCGCACCACAACACTACTTAAGTCTAGTCCGTAACACCAACGATGCACGCTCACCATGCAGCACTCATGCATACGTCACAGGGATGCGATTACATCCACGACATGCCACGCACACACCTAACGTCATACGGTAGCCGAGTCATACTACATGCACACACGCATTGCACGGCTCACATGCACGCACTCATGTATACGCGCATACACGGACATACACGACATTCACGCTCAGCCACGCTCGTACGTACCGTACGTATCGCACACGCGCGCAAGCACGCAAGCATGTATGCACGCACGCATGTACGCACGCACCGCCCGTCTAATAGTGCCACCACGAGTCAGCAAAGTAGCCCCGAGTGTCCAATCAATTATCCCAATCATATGAAAGCAGTAGACTGAAAGGAAGGATACACGCATAGGGTAAGCTGAGAGCTGAGAGCAGAGAGGATCGAGGGGGGGGGGTGTAGTGGGAGTGCGACTCGTAAGCAGGCGAGCGGCGACACACCAACCCGCGAACAACGCACGCACGCACGCACGCGGACGCACGCACGCACGCACGCACGCACAAGAGAGAGGGGGGTTGTGCGTTTGATAGAGAGAAGAGAGCGCCCTACAGCCAGACAGAGTAGACGAATCGACACACTGGGTGGGTGTGAACGACGACACGAGGGCCGCAGTCGATACGATGCTGACGCGCGTGAGGTTAAACAGCCGCGTCAGTCAACAGTTTGTAGTGTCAGTCCAATGTGCTACAGCGCGCCACTTCGATCGTGACTTTTGCCAACCACGAGCTCACTTAGTTGTCATTCGGCTTTCGGGCTTCTAAGGCCGCCCTGCGCCCCCGTCCGTCGAGCAATAAATATTGTTCGTAAGACGGGGTTATTCGTGTTGAATAGTTTATTCTGCGGTGTGATGATATCAGAACCCAAAAACATCAGCAAGTTAGGCGACGCACGCCACAGTATCCTGACTTCTCATGACGTTTTCATCCGCCATCAAACATTGGAATAATATATAATATAGTTAATAGTATATATATATATATATTATGCGTGCGGGCGTGTGTGCGTGGCGTGCGTGCGTATGTGTGTTTCGTGGTGCATGTCGTGTGAGTGTGTTATATCACGTGCAAGGCGCGCAATGAGATCGCTGTGAAATTCGTGTTGCGTGTGTGTGCTGTGTGTGTGTGTGTGTGTGTGTGTATGTGTGTGTGTGTGTGTGTGTGGCGTTTTATGGCTTTTGTGACACACCCCATCGCGCGCTCCCTGTTTGTCTGAAGCTCGTGTAGTATGCTTCGTGCCCTATACGTGCGCGTCGTGCGCGCTGCGTCTACGTGTGTGCGCTCGCCATGTTGGGCGTGGCAACGGCTGTGTGTATGTGTGTGTGGCGTGCGTGGTGCGTGCTGGTGTGTGTGTGTGTGTCTGTCTGTTTTGTGCGTGCGCGCGCGTGTGTGTGTGCGCACGTGCGTGTGTGTGCGCGCGTTGGTGTGTGTGTGTGTGCCGGCGCGCGTGTGTGTGTGTGTGTGTGGTGTGTGTGTGTGTGTGTGTGTGTGCGCGCGCGCAGACGTGGGGTTGTGTGTGTGTGGTGCGCGGTCGGGTGTGTGTGTGTGTGATGTGTGTGTGTGTGTGTAGTGTGTGCGCTGCGTGCAGGTGTGTGTAAGTGGATATCTAAGCACAACATTCGTGTATGCGATTGCTCAATTTTGGAGATTTTTCATCGCAAATCATCCAATCAGTTGTATGTGTTTAGATAACTAAAATCATCGTTTCTATAAACGTTGACAAACGCCCAGCATTTTACAGCGTCGCTTCTCGCCATGCTCCTCCTTTCTCACTTTGATTTCGTCTAGTTGTGTTGGGCAGCACATTCAACAGAGGAATGAAATGCGCCAGAGGTGTTGGTCTATATGAACGCGCGGTGAAGTATACGAAGTTGTGTGTAAGATCGCCGCAGCAGCATCATCAGCAGTACAGCAGCAGCGACGGCAGCAGCAGCGGCCAGCAGCAGCCGACGGCAAGGCAGCAGAAGCAGGCAGCAGAGCAGTAGTAGCAGCGCGCAGCAGGAACAGCAGCAGCAGCAGCAGCAACAGCGTCGGCACGGCAGACAGCGAGTGAGCAGCATGCATCATCAAGCAGCAGCGTCGGCAGGCAGCAGCACGCAGTAGCAGGCACATCAGCAGCTACGATGCGCTAGAAATGAGAGCGGACGGCGACGTAACAACGTCGGCTAGCATCTAATCTGATTACGCCGGGATGGATGGTTGGTGTCGTTTCAGATTTAGAGGAATAATTCGAAAGCGCGATGTTCTAGCTCCGATGTGCCCTAAGTAGGACCGGCTGAGATGGTGTCTGTCTGATGCATATGTAATATAGTATATATATATATAATATATATATATATTATATATATATATATATTACCTGTATTAATGTCATGTATGTATGTCGTATGTATGTATTTAGATGATGTGATGTATGTATGTGTTATGTTTATGTATTATGTATGTATGTATGTATGTATGTATGTAATGTATTGATGTATGTAATGTAGTAGTATGTATTATGTAATTAGTATGTATTGTATGTATTAGTCGTAGGTATGTGATGTATGGTATGTATGTATGTATGTATGTATGTATGTTGTATGTATGTATGTGATGCTATGTATGTATGGTATGATGTTGATGTATGTATGATAGTATGTATGTATGTATGTATGTATGTATGTATGTAGTATGTATGTATGTATGTATGTATGTATGTATGTATGTATGTATGTATTATGTATGTATGTATGTATGTAGTATGTATGTAATGTATGTATGTATGTATGTATGTATGTATGGTGTGTGTGGGTTTGTGTGTGTGTTGAGTGTGTGTGTGTGTGTGTGTGTTCGTGTGTGTGTGTGTGGTGTTGGTGTGTATTGTATGCTATGCTATGGTATGTTATATTATGCTTGATGAATGTATATATGTATGTATGTATGTATTATGTAAAATATTATGTATTAATTAAGAAAGAACGAAAGGAGAGACAGAGGGAGAGTCACAAAGAGAGAGAGAAAGAGAGAGAGAGAGAGAGAGATAGCGAGAAAGAAAGATGAAAGGAAACAAAAGAGAGAGAGAGAAGGGAGTGGGAGAAGGAGACACAAGCAGATAAGAGGTGGAAGGCACATTTGATGCAGCGAGCAGTTCTAGCATCGGATTTCTTTCGCGAGCCCTGTATACCTTCTGCGTAATAGGCAGTGTGCAGCGGCGGTCTTTGCTCTAAACATCAAACGCGCTCAACCTTTTCATCTCATGAAGGTTTCGCTCTTTGAACAAGTGAGAAATTCGACCCAGCAACGGCTTCACCCCCTACTCTATGTCCCCTGCTTCATTCACGCCATCTCCCAGCGAAGTGTTGTCATTGAGCGTGGCCGTAGATGATTGAACGCGTGAAATTTGAAATCTGCTTATCACAATATCCTCAGTGGCTTTCGCAGCTCCTTCGTGCCTTTTGGAAATCTCCGAGAAATTTCCCATTACTGTAATGTTGTCCGCCATCGTATATCTCCATCCCTCGTAGATCTCACCAGTCACCGTACACACCCTCACCAGTCACCGTACACACCCTCACCAGTCACCGTACACCCTCTCACCAGTCACCGTACACCCCCTCACCAGTCACCGTACACCCCCTCACTAGTCACCGCACGTCTCCCATATCCCTCGTAAACCCCCTTCTCCCCGTACCAGTCACCGTATATCTCTACCTCCCCTCCCCCCTCACCAGTCATGTTATCCCCAGTAGACCTCGCCAGTCACCGTACATTATCCCCGCGGATTCTGCTAGTCACGCTACAAGTCCCCGTAGATCTCGCTGCCACGGCTGCCAATGTAGAACCGCTAGAGGTCGGCACGATCGTGCGGCGTTAACTCGGGTTACTCTTTAATCTAGCAGTAATGGGAAACCCCTATCACGGGCGAACAATACGTTACACGCTAATTTGCTATTCCCGTTAGTCGCGGGGTCTCGCGAGAACGCGTTAATCACAACAACAGCTTCAATTATAAAATGAATAATTACACGCCTGCATTTTTTTCCGAGTTAATTACTAGACGTGTTATTATAATTATTTGCGATGATGATCATGAAGCGATTAACGCATCGCACACGTTCGTATAAGTAACGTGTGATCGGTGATCGTGACCATATATCAGAATTTGAATAACAAGTGTCAAGTTACCACGCGGTCGTCTGAAAGTCTGAAGACGATATATATGTAGGGTCGAGATGCAATTAAATATGTTGTCAATCATCCGATATTAGCGAAAACTTGCGTTTACAACTCACCGAAAGAAATAAACATGTCTTAGAAAACCCGTTGCGTCGCTCACGCGGAATTGCCAATTAGTTGCCGTTATAAATAATTGCTAAATGTCATTTGAAATGGCGAGAGTTTCTCGCGCGTGAAACGTTAAAACTGCTAGAGGAGAAATCGAGGCAAATGTAGCAAGAGCGCGCAATACCATCACTCGCACACGTTCTCTCCTTATACACTAACTGTAGTTTGTAAACGTATACTTGAATTATGACACCTATTCGAAATACGCTTCTAGAGATTACATCGCAGCTCAGTTGCCCGCTTTTTCCTATTAGCATAATATCGCGATGGTTGCGGTTTTCTACAACTTAATTAGATCCTACGGTAGTATCCTACGGTGGTAGTATTTCACACCGAACCGATGGAAGTGTCGGAATGCATTATACTACACTGTTCGTCATAGCGTTGTCATGACTACTCCGACCATTGTCGCGTTTTAGTGACGCTGCGACATCGTTTGGCTTTTAATTTCCCCGGATATGTATTCGCGCTGCGTGCCTACTCGGTGATAAAGTCTGCCGCTGCGGCGGAGTTTTGCGTCATAAACGTCTGCTGTTTGCGTCACATAATCGCGTGGTTACTATGGTTATTATGACTCTGTCAATGTCGTCGTCATGCGGGTTTAGCCGCCTGTTTAATCAGACGCATGACGGACAATTTCATTACTGCGAGCTCTTAGCGAAATAAACCAGCATGCACCGAAAAGCTTATTGTACCAAATGTCTATTTTACGACTACGAAATCGCGTTACGAAAATGTCCCGTATATAAGTATATAAGTATTTTTACGCGCAATTTCTTTTTCTTTCGCAGCGCTAAGCGGCATGTGGTGGAAAAAGGCGAACGACGGGCTACTCCTGGGCGCCATCGTGTTGCTGGTCACGTGGCAACCCGCGCATGCGGAGCGCAACGTCACTGACGACGCGTGTCCCGTGCCGATGCACGCCAGAGCCACCTGCCGGTGCGTCGATGTCAGCTTCCTGAAGATCGCTTGCGTCGACGCCGACTGGGATGGCCTGCAGGGGGCGCTGGGGGGCATCGACGAGCCAATCGTCGGGCTGAGTGTACAGATGAGTCGGCTGCGGACGGTGTCGGCTGGCGGTGTGTTGTCGCGGCTCAGGATCACCGAGCTTTACCTGACGGATGACGAGATTACTGAGGTGTCGGCAGGTGCAATAAACGGCTCCCTGGATTACCTACAACACCTGGATCTTAAAGAGAACCTGTTACTTAAGGTGCCGACGCTAGCGCTGAGCGAAGGTTACAGTCGACTGAAGTATCTCGACCTGGGACAGAACAGCATAGCGACGGTCGGCGCCGACGCTTTCGTCGACCTGCCGTCACTACACGTCCTCAAACTGAATGCCAACAAGATTCGAGCCGTAGAACCGGGAGCCTTTGCGGGACTCGAATCGCTGTTGGACATAGATCTACAGAGTAACGAGTTAAAGTCGGTGCCGTCGCTGGCGCTGTCCGATCTACGATCGCTGAAGAAACTCGACCTCGGACACAACTATCTCGGCTACATCCACGACAACGCGTTCGAAAACCTCACGTCGCTAGAGACGCTTGTGCTTGCTTACAATAGCATCCACGCCGTCCACCAGGCGGCGTTCGTGTCGCTGTCCAACCTGCGCGTGTTGTTTCTGCTCGCGAACAACTTCGAAGCGATTCCTCTGATGTCGCTTAACCTCACCAACCTGGAGTTCCTCGTCCTGGGCATCAACTACATTAGCGACATTCCCAAGGACGCCTTCCGTCACCTGCCGCGTCTGCGCACGCTCAATCTCGCCGGAAATCTTATCGAGGACGTCTCTAGCGACGCGTTTCGAGGTCTCGAGGATCTAGCGTACCTGCACATGTCCGAGAACCGACTGACGCGACTGCCACAGGCGGCGCTGAAAGCGTTCCGACAACTCTACGTTCTCAACCTCGGCAACAACCAAATAGGTGACGTCACGATGGACGCATTCTCGGCCGAACTGAAGGATTCGATCGGTACACTCATCCTAAACAACAACCAGCTATCGGCCGTACCGACGAAAGCTCTACACGGATTCAGGAAGCTCTGGAAACTCGACCTGGCCGGCAACCGCATCGTTCAGCTAGAGGATAACGCTTTCGCCGAGCTGGCGACGTTAGAGTCGATCGACCTTTCTAACAACGACATCATGTACGTGAGCAGCAAAGCGTTCCTCGGCCTGCACGCCACCCTGCAGAACCTCGACATGAGCCGTAACGAGATCGTGACGTATCCGCGGGAAGCCATTCGCAATATGGAAGAGCTGCGGACGCTGAGGCTGCAGCACAACGCGCTGAGGAGCGTGCCTGAAGAAGCAGCCGATGGTCTGAACAAACTCGCCAGCCTAGAGCTGCAGAACAACTACATAGACGACGTCGACAGAAACGCGTTTGCCGACGTGTGCAGTAAGCAGCTGCGAATCATAGATCTGTCCGGGAATAGGATCGCTGTGCTCCGATCTGACACATTTGTCAACCTGACGTCGGTTGTCAGCGTCGATCTTTCCTTCAACGTCATCCGGACGCTACAGCCAGGCGCCTTCCGGCACATGGTGGCGCTCGCGTCGCTCAATCTTAGCAACAACCAGATAGAGGTCGTCGCGCATGCGCCGTTCACCTCGCTGCCGGCGCTCACGCACATTAACCTGAAGCATAATCTGATAGAGAGAGTGTCGGCGCTTGCCTTCCAGGAGTCGCCGGCGCTGCAGGACGTCAATCTGTCGCACAACAACCTGTCGATCGTCCGCGCCGGATCGCTGAGCCCCCTGGCGGCCATCGAGTCGCTCGATCTGAGTCACAACAAGATCATCGCCATGGAACCGGACGCGCTGATGGCGCCCCAGACGGCGACGCTGCGGGTCTTGCACCTGCAGCAGAACGCGTGGCTGTGCGACTGTCGGATGCTCTGGCTGCGGGAGTGGCTCGACGACTGGGTGAACGCGACAGGGGGCGCTGCTACGCCGTACCTCGACGATGTTACGTGTTACGGACCTGCCGACGTGATGGGCCGCTGCGTCATGTGCGTGACGCTAGACAAATTCGTGTGCCAAGAGAGCGTTGTGACGCAGCCGCCGCTGCCGACAGCGTCGGAGTGTCCCGTGGAGAGCGATGATCATTTCGTCATCATCATGATGCTGACAGCATGGCTAGGTGCCTTCCTAGTCGCTCTCATCATCCTCACCGGCTACGCCTACATACTTAACGGACGCCTGATGAAGGAGGACGAGGACGACATGGAGGACGTCGCCAGGATCAGCTACCACGAGGAAGCTGATCTCGTCGACGACGACGGTGACCTTGGCTTCGCCGACTCCGACGTGCCGCCAGCGCCACCGCCGCCCGGCAAGTCGCCCTCTGGCGACGTGAAATCACTCGCGAACATGTCGACTCTTTCTAACTCGAATACATTCCCGATCGATCCTATGGAATCCCCACAGTCGGCAAGGACGCTGAGTCCAGTATGACGGACACGTTGTCCGCTAGGAGGCGCTAGCTGGACGGACGGCAACGTCAGTGTTATAAACTACATGCTAGACTTAACGAAACGAAATGAACGACGTCGTCATTGTTTTATTTTTTAATATAAATGTGTACCACTACCATTATTTTTAAGTTGTGCATGTCATTTGAATAGTGTGATATTCCGTTGTTTAAGCGCTTGCAATTTACGGAGGGGGGGGGCACATATTATGCATATGTATGTGTACGTAGCAGTGAGTATATGTCATGTACGTCTTCCTAAACATTGTACTTGTATATTTGCCGTTACTATTAAACGCAAATGGCGATTTACGACAACTGCTGCCATCTGTCATGCGACAGTATTATGCGCATTCGTGTGTGCATACCTTCCTACAAAATAACATGGCGTTGTGTGGCGGATAATAATACAGGATGTTTAGATATCTGCTGTTACAGTAAATCTGAGTTCGTGTACGCCCTTTAATAATCTCGTCTGGTAATAGATGCGCCACGTGGGGATTATCTTGTTATGCAATGAATGAAGAATATGCGTCTGAAAAATCACATTTAAATCAACCTGTCACAGCTAAACATTATGTTTGCAAAAAAATGAAGAGAAACAGCTGTAATATAGTGTGATCTTCTTTAAACTAGGAATAGGTTTTATTAAAAAAAAAGGTATCCGAATGTTTTCCGCAAATTAAGCAGGTTCGTCTAAAATTTTCCAGACCCTATTTAGATTACGAGTGCCGCTAGAAGGCGCTGCGATTCTAAACCGAGATTTAGACCAAGATTAGACAGAATTGATTTTCTATGCAGGCGAATATAATGCAAACGTCCTAGTCGAGTTCTCGTGCGAATTTACTGTCGTAGTTACTGATCATTAGTGTCGTATAATTAAAAGCACGTGTTGAATAGATGTTGCTGGTTTTATTTTTATTAATTAAATGCGTGAAGTATAAGCTTCGGCGATAAGCACCAAACAACAAACATGACCCACCAGATCACTAGTAAATTGTGGTAATACACATATTTAGGTGAAATATTCAATATTATGATGCATAAATAAAAGATCCTTCCATTATTATTATGAGTGAATATGTAATTGGTATAATAAACGAATATCTGGAATCCATATTGGTGTTTTGAAATCTGCTTCCAGAGCTATTGCTCATTAGTGTGACATAATTATAATTAAATGTTGATAGTGTTGCTTCCGTTAAAATCCCTAATGTATGGCTTGTTTTAAATGAAAGCTACACATACACATTATGAATAAAGTAGACCAAGCGGCTATATGTTTAACCAACTGCCACGTACTGACCCCTAGCGGGATTCCTTGTACTGAAAGGTGGCAGAATGTGAAAGCAGGCCGACTAGGTCCGTGTCATAAAAAATCGGGTCACATTTATTGGTACTGAATAATTCCTGCTGGTGATAAAATATGAGCGTTCCTTCTAATATCTAGAGTGAGACACAATGTTAGTAAATTATCGTATCACATCCCAGTATACGCACTCTACTCTACAAACAAACTCTAAGAGGAAATATTAAAAGTGCTACAGTAGTTGGCATTATATAGTAATATGTGAGTATAGCAAGGAGAAGAAGGAATGAATATATATATATATATATATTCTATGACAAACGCTTGCTTGCCTAACGTTCGGCCGACAGGTGCTTAGTAGGTCACCGATGTGAAAACGACAGAATGGTGAAGCAGGAGAGAAGCAATATTGTGTGCCATGGATGTTTCAGATCTCTAAACGCTCTTTTCTACTTCAGTACGTTTCATCATCGCGTCAAGCGCGTCATCGCGCACGCGCGGTCCCGCGCATCATCACCCCCTCACCCCCTCACACACTCTCACACTCTCACACACTCACACACTCACCCCCTCACACTCGCACACACTTAAGTATACGTAGACACACGCATGCACGCTCACATGCACGCACTCATGCATACGTACAGGGATGGATATACATCCACCGAAGCATGCACGCACACACCTAAGTATACGTAGACGAGTATACATACATGCACACACGCATGCACGCTCACATGCACGCACTCATGTATACGTGCATACACGGACATACACGCAGTCACGCTCACACGCACGTACGTACGTACGTACGCACACGCGCGCACTCCCACACGCGAGCACACGCATGTTCGCAGGCGCATGTATCACCGCCCGCCCGCCCGCACGCACGCACGCATGTATGCACGCACGCATGTACGCACGCACGCCCGTCTAATAGTCACCACGAGTCAGGCAAGTACCGAGTGTCAATGCAATTATTCACATCATATTGAAAGCAGTTAGAACTGAAGGAAGGATACAGCATAGGGAAAGCTGAGAGCTGAGAGCAGAGAGGATGAGGGGGGGAGGGTGTATGGGAGTGCGACTGTAAGCAGGCGATCAGGCGACACACCAACCCCGAACAACGCACGCACGCACGCACGCACGCACGCACGCACGCACGCACAGAGAGAGGGGGTTGTGCGTTTGATAGAGAGAAGAGAGCGCCCTACAGCAGACAGATAGACAGATCGACACATGGAGTGGCACGCACAGAGAGAGGGGGTTGTGCGTTTGATAGAGAGAAGAGAGCGCCCTACAGCAGACAGATAGACAGATCGACACATGGAGTGGGTGTGAACGACGACACGGGCGGCAGTCGATACGATGCTGACCGCTGAGGTTTAAACAGCCGCTCAGTCAACAGTTGTAGTGTCAGTCAATGTGCTACACGCGCCACTTCGATTCGTGACTTTTGCCACCACTCACTTAGTTGTCATTCGTGCTTCGTGCTTCTAAGCCCCTGACGCCCCCGTCCGTCGAGCCAATAAATATTGTTCGTGACGGGGTTATCGTGTTGAAATAGTTTATTCTGCGGTGTGTAATATCAGAACCAAAAACATCAGCAAGTTAGCACGCACGCACGCCACAGTATCCTGACTCTCATGACGTTTCATCCGCCATCAAACATGGAATATATATATATATATATATATATATATATA